CGGGGCGTGACCATATATCCCTATATTCTCTTTATACTACCCGAATTAGACAATGTGTGGGCAGGACAAAAACTGGCAGAAGGTCTTCTCCAGCTATCCCCTGGTTGGCCAGCTGCTGCCCATGGCTCTGTCAGATGAGGGTATAGATTCACGTTTGTTTGCACGAAGCTGCTCCTCGCCCCCCTATATTAACCCTCCCACCCCCCTAGTATGAAACATTCCCATTACGTGGTATGTTATAGTATTTTGGGAGTATTTAATGCTAGGGGGAGGGGACTATTGCTCTACATGTCCCTATTTAGGGTCTTGGGCATTCTTGGGCTTAGGGTTCCCCAAGCCTGGATCCACAAATGATCTGGAACCAAGGTTCCCTAATCCGAAGCAACCTGCGGTGCCCCGTGCTCAGTATGCTCAGTTGAGCTGTAGTTCATTTACAGCGGATTATATTTGGTTTGTAAAGGGGCATACTATTTAGGAGTTTAGCTCCTAAAAACTTAGACCCTAAAGCCTAAACCCTAAACCCTAAAGGTTATGAAGGGGGATTAATAGGGGTATAGATTATTTAGATCCTAAAGCCTAGGCCCTAAACTCTAAATCCTAGGGGTTATTCATAGATTATTGGTCAGTTGGCTGTGGATCTGTGCCACAGGCAAATCCAGTACAGCCTACCCAGGTCACAGCCAGAGCCAGCAGCAGCAGGCAACCCGCGTTGCTGTTAAGGAACTGAAGTTAAGCTACCATATTATGGGACACTATAAGGTTAAGGGCTTAGGGGTACCATTATATGATAGATTATATTATATACTGCATAATGGGGTTCCTTATCATAGTAATTTATTGAAGTCTCTGACTAGCAAAGTGGGCACGCCAAGATAAGTTGAAGTGGGTATGCCGAAGTTTGGCTTGAACAGGTGACCCTGCGCCTGCTGCTGATGAGGTCAGTGGAACTCAGAACCCGTTTTTGTAAAACTCAGCACTTGCATCGCTGCAGGCAAGAGGGAGCGCTGAAAGCTCAAAGACGCAAGAGATCACTCTGCCTCTAGACCCTCAGGGGCAAGCCATCAGCCAGGACAAGTGTTGACAGCCTTCACGGATGATTTCAGGATATTTCAGGGCTGGGGCGCATGTAGGTCCCGTGGCCAATCATCTTTTCAAAGGCTGAGGTCTGTGTTGGCGCCACAATGCGGAAGAAGTCCCGAAGCATGTGCCAGTAGATTTCGCAGCTGCACCCCGAAGTCTCAGAGTTGCTCATGCTTTTTTGGTGGGCGGCTCAAGACATGCAATCCCAAATTGGAGTGATGCTCGTGGCCCGTGGTGGCCTCACCCGGCTGCCAAGGCCTTGGCAGCCATGGGGTTGTCAGTCTTTCAGGCGCCAGGTGCCAAGAGAGGCGCCCTCCTACGGGCAATGGGCCCTTGGCGCACTGGCCGGCAGTTCCGCCCAGCGCATTTGGAGGCGTAGGCATGCCAGTTCCTGGCGGTCCATTGGCTCAGACCGCTCGGTGTCTCTCAATGCTGGCAAACAAAAACGAGAAGCTTCTTTGCAGGTGAAGCAGCAACACCGGTGCTTTGAGGGCACATTGTTTGAGTGCAGCTACCGCTCCAAAGCCTTGGGTGATCTAGATTCATCATTCAGTGTGTACGTTCCCGATGCACCGTGTATACAGTGCAGTTTGCCATATCCAGAGGATTGCGAGGAGTTTCCTGTTCTTCTGTATTTGTCTGACATGGGGTGTTCCGATCGCGAGGTCGCGAAGCAGTCAAGTGCGCTTGAGCATAGCGCCGCCTGCGGTGTGATATTTCTGTCCGCGGACACCTCCCCAAGAGGTCCAAACGTACCGGATGATCTGCAACCTGACATGGGAATCGGGGCAAGCTATTATGTCAATGCAACCGAGCAGCCCTGGGCCAAGAATTACAGGATGCAGGACTATTTGAAGGAATTGCTTAAAATTGTGCACAAGAACTTTCCCACCTGTGGCCCCGATGAGGTTTCCTTGATGGGGCACTCAATGGGCGGCATGGGGGCACTTGCGCTGGCCATTCGCCTGCCCGACCACTTCCGCTCCGTATCAGTGCTGGCACCCATCGCTCACCCTACAGCCGTCCCGCATGATGCCTCACCTGACGTGCGGCGTGCTCTCTCCGCCTACCTAGGGGATGAGTCAGAGTGGCAGAAGTTTGACCCCACATGCCTTATCCAGGGTCTGAGCGTTAAAGAAGCAGAGCAACTGCCCCCACTCTTTGTGGATGTTGGCTCAGAAACATTGCGGGCGCCCTCGCGTGATGTCTACAGGCCACTTGACTTTGTCAATGCGTGCTGTGAGCGAGGCATCCCCATCGAGCTGCGAGTGAGAGCAGGATTTGATCAGAGCTACTTCTTTGTGACATCCGTAATGGAAGAGCACTTGGATTTTCATGCCAAACATCTAGACGCAGCTTGAGTTCACGGCGAAAACAAGCGTGTGCCAAAGCCAAACACCCACGCACACTGGTCCTGAAGCCGTTTGCTAACTTCTGGCTGTGCAGGACAGGGTGGCAGCTCAAGCGTCTGCGACAATCAAGCAGGACCAGTCTCAGGCAGCTGCTGGTTTTGTTCGTTGGGGTGGGGTCTTAAATTTGGTCCAGCTTCTCACCCTACAGGCATTGGCTTGAAGCAGAAGTTGAGATGTTGCCGAGTTTCTCGTGCGCTCTTCCAGGGCAGCCTTGGCGAAAGTGGTGCTGGACTGCTTGGTGCGGTGAAGCTGACGGGGCCCCCCGTGGAGACACTGAAGGCAGTGCTTGGCGCAGCTTTGGAAAAAGCTGGTGGTCAAGCTAGCGACAGTGCCAGCAAGGACC